TTGTTGATGTTGTTGTTGTTGTTGTTGGTGCTGTTGGTGTTGCTGCTGGTGTTGTTGTTGGTGTTGTTGGTGTTGGTGTCGGCGTTGAACTCTCATTCCTGACGAATTTATTGCTGATCCCCCCCAACCGGTGCACATTGTTTGTTTCCTCGCAGCCCGTTTTTTGACTGGGAAAGTCTTCCTGCTCAAACTGGGCCCCTGGCCCCCGGGTTACAACAACAACGGCTCCCGCCTGAGACTTCCTCACAATTTAACCGGGACCCCCGCTCCCGCCCGAGACTTCCTCGCATGTTATTCAAGAATCGCGCTCTCGCTTGGGACTTCCTTACGATTTATTTAGGAATCGTTCCTCCTGCGCTCTGGAGTCGCGCTCTCGCTAGAGACTCGCTTGCAATTTACTGAAGAATAGCGCCCTTGCGTTGGAATTTCTTGCAATTTACTCCAGCGCCGCGCCCCCGACACCCAGACACCCAGGAGTCGCGCTCACGCTTAGGACTCCTTCACAGATGACCTAGGAATCGGGATCTCGCTGCCCTTCGTGGCCCCATTGCAGCCCTTCGTGGCCCCCTCGCTTTGTTTCGTGGCCCCGTTGCAGCACTTCGTGGCCCCCATCGCATTGTTTCGTGGCCCCGTTGCAGCCCATCGTGGCATCCTCGTTGCCCTTCGTGGCCCCGTTGCAGCCCATCGTGGCCCCCTCGCTTTGTTTCGTGGCCCGGTTGCAGCCCATCGTGGCCCCCTCGCTGCCCCCCGTGGCCCCGTTGCAGCCCTTCGTGGCCCCGTTGCAGCCCTTCGTGGCCCCGTTGCAGCCCTTCGTAGCCCCGTTGCAGCCCTTCGTGGCCCACTCGCTTTGTTTCGTGGCCCCATATCTGTATGCCCTTCGTGGCCCCCGTTCGTTCGCGCCCGTGGTGGCCCCATGTGCATGCCCTTCGTGGCCCCGCTGTCGCCCTTCGTGGCCCCCTCGCTGCCCCTCGTGTCCCCGTTGCTGCCTACAGTGGCCCCGTCCTTACCCTCCGCGGCCCAACATACGTACGCCCTTCGTGGCCCCCGCTCGTTCGCGCCCGTTGTGGCCCCATGTGCATGCCCTTCGTGGCCCCGCTGACGCCGTTTGTGGCCCCCTCATTGTCCTACGTGGCCCAAGTGCTACCCTCAGTGGCCTCATCGTTGCCTTCTGTGGCCCCGCATTATCTGCCCTTCATGGCCCACGCTCGTTCGCGCTCTTCGTGGCCCCATACGCATTCCGTTCGTGTCCCCGCTGTCGCCCTTCGTGGCCTACTTCGTGCCCTTCGTGGCCCTGCTGTCGTTCTCTCTCGCTCTCGCTTTCGCTCGTCGTCGTCGTCGCCGTCGCCGTGGTTGCCGTCGTCGTCGTCGTCGTCGTCGTGGTCGGTCCCCTGTCCGTCCCTCTTGGGGTCGTGTCGACGGTCCGCGGCCGCCCCGCCGATCAGCGCTGCCGCTGGCCAGGCCGACGGTCCGCGGCCGCCCCGCCGCTTGCCGGGGCCCGGCCTGCAGGCAAGAAAGGTATACCCCCCAAAAGGGGTTCGATCGAAGACGAAAAGGGCGAGTATCGAGGGTTTGGGAAATCCGCGATATTCGACACTCGAGCAGATAGGGCGAACAGTCTTAAAATGATTGTTGTTGTTGTGGTGGTTGTTGTTGTTGGTGTTGTTGTTGTTAGTGTTGTTGCTGTTTTTGTTTGTTGCTTGTTTGTTTGTTGTTGTTGTCGTCCCCACTCCGCGACCCACCCCGCGACCCACCCGCGACCCACCCCGCGACCCACCCCGCGACCCACCCCGCGACCCCACCCGCGACCCACCCCGCGACCCACCCCGCGACCCACCCGCGACCCAACCCGCGACCCTCCCGCGACCCACCCCGCGACCCACCCGCGACCCACCCGCGACCCACACGCGACCCACCCCGCGACCCACCCCGCGACCCACCCCGCGACCCACCCCGCGACCCACCCCGCGACCCGCGACCCACCCCGCGACCCACCCGCGACCCACCCCGCGACCCACCCCGCGACCCACCCGCGACCCACCCGCGACCCACCCGCGACCCACCTGCGGCCGATCCACACTGGTTCGAAGAAAAGATGAGCGCCTGCGGCGGGCTCGTTGCATAAGTTGTGAAACTTTGGCGCCTGCGGCGGGCTTTTCCAGAGTCTCGCGGACTGACGACGTCCGCACCGCCCCCTTACTCTTATCCGCATCTGCGGGGTGCTACGTATGTGTGTATATATATACACACGTCAGTAGATCTGTATGTAGATATTCGAAAGAGGGAGGAGGCGATGAGGAGGAGGAGGAGGAGGAGGAGGAGGAGGAGGAGGATTGGAGGATTGGAGGACGGAGGGCAGGAGCAGGAGGACGAGGAGGAGGAGGAGAGGAGGAGGAGGAGGAGGAGAGTGAGGCGGAGGAGGAGGAGGAAGCATGGCCATCAAGAGGGTGACCAGGTGCTGGCGCCATCAGCCCGGCTTGAGCAGGAAGTCTGGTGATTGCGAATTGGGCTTCTCACCCCGCCTTGAACCAGACGACCACGGAGATCGCATGCGCGAGCGCAACGCCCGGGGCGCCGCGCCTCCAGGCACGAGCCCCCCCCCTCTGAAAAGACCCCCCACGCATCCAAGGGGCGCTGGCAATAAAGAGGCGACATTGCCCCGAGCTTGGGACGAGGACGCACGATAAGGATGCAAGGGCCTTGGAAGGCCGTGTCGACACGTCGCGGGCGGGGCGCGGCCAGCAAAAGCGGCGAAAGAGGAGGAATAGAATAGGGAAACGCGCGGTGCCCATGAGAACACAGACGCCGGCGAAAACCAGCAGCGAACCGATGGGCGAGGAGGAGAGGACAGAGGAGAGAGGACAGAGGGGGGACAGCTGGAGCCCGCTGCGCGCGAGGACTCAAGGCTGCCAGTGTAAGCGAAGCCCAAACTGGTCTGGCCCGCGGCGCTCGGCGCTTGCTTCCGATAACCGCGATTTCGGAGCCTACAGCGGGCAGAGCAAGCGCCAGTCAGCGGCAGGCCGAGAAGAAAACCCGCAGAGGAAGAGGGCGCCTACGATGGGGCGCGCCGTGACAGCCTGCGACGGCCCACATTGGCAGGCCCTCGTAGCCAGAAGATGCCGCGGTCGCTGTTGCGACATAACTGGGAAGGGTCTCTTATAAACCCCCATGTCATAATTGGAACTATTTCCAAACCATCCTGTGGTGTTGGGACCTCGTCTTGAAGGGACAGTCCCCGCGTCTCCTCCTTCTCTTCTCCCGCTCCTCCCTTCTCCCGTCCCCCCCCTCACTTTGGCACACCCCTCACACGTTTCGTGGCCCCATGGAGAGCTTCACCGAAGGCCCCAGTGGCATGGTTCGCATGCCGCCGCCCCCCCCCCCTCCACTTTGGCACACCCCTCACACGTTTTGTGGCCCCAGTGGTATGGCTCGCATGCCGCCTTCTCTTCGTGTTGGCACATCCCTCACATGCTTCGCGGCCTCATAGGGAGCTCCACTGAGGGCCCCAGTGGCATGGTTTGCATGCCGCCTTCCCTCCATGTTGGCACGCCGCTCACGCGCGTCGTAGCCCCATAGGGAGCTCCACCGAAGGCCCCGTGGCATGGTTCGCATGCCGCCCCCTCACTTTGGCACCCCCCTCACACGTTTTGTGGTCTAGGGGGGCTCCACTGAAGGCCCTAGCGGCAGCACCCGCATGGCGGCCCCGCCCCACTGCGGCGCACCCTTCGCGCGCTTCGTGCCCATAGGGGGTTCCACCGAAGGCAGTTCTCACAACGGCGGCATTCACAACTGCATGTGGTTGGGTCTTCTGCCAGGATGTGTTGTTTTTTTTGCGCGGGCTTATTGGCAATGGTGAGAAAACAACTCCCCTCCCGCGGCGGCCACTGCTGGGGCTCCTAGGGATTCCCACCACTCTCTTGAGGAAGCCTAGGGAGTCCCAGTGCCCCTTCCCCATATGAAGGTGACAACGAGAACGATCACGATGACGACGAGGACATGGCGCCGAATCGAGTGGAGGTGTAGCGAATGATCTTGCAATCCTCGTGCAAACGAGGTCATCTGACAAACCGACTGAAACGTCCTCTGCCTTGCAGGTTCGAGCAGGGAGCAAGCCCCGCAGGGAACAAAACACCCAACAACAACCCACAGGCGAGCAATCATGGGCAAAGAACTGCACACACCGCACACACAGACAATGCTCACCACAATTATGGCGAGCTCTTACTGCGCACGAAAGCGCGCGCGGCCCCGATATGAAGACGACGACGATCGCGACGACGACGGCGACGACGACGAAGGCGACGCGCCGACTCGTCTGGAGATGTAGCAAATGATCTTGCAATCCTTGTACCAACAAGCTCAACATTCCTCTGTCGTGCAGAGTAGACCAGAGGGAAACACCCACCAGGAAAAAACACCACACAACCACAACCCACAGGCAACATTCCGCGAGGAGGAGGAGGAGGAGCCCCCATTACGGAGTACGACGAAGGGAGGATTCCGAGGGAGGTGAGCACGAGGAGGAGAGCAAGGAGGGAAAGCGAGGAAGAGGGCGAGGAGGGGAGGTATGAGGAGAGGGAGGACGAGGGGGAGCACGAGGAGGAAGGCGAGGAGGGAGAGCGAGGAGGAGGAGGGCGAGGAGGGGAGGGACGAGAAGATTTATTCTCATATTATTCCCAGACGAGAACTTCGGGAGGGGCATCAAAGACCCTTTGTGGTTACAGGTCGCGGTGCTCCACCTCCTCCCCCCTCCTCTTCTCCTCCTCCTGCGACCCAACGATTAAAACACATTGGGAAAGACATAATAGGAAGACATGTATTTCTCGTCTGGGTCGCTGACTGTGACTTAGCCGCCTCGACGGCGACGACGACGACGACGAACTGGGAATATCTTGCTGATAGTCCACATCCAAGCTGCGGCCCCCCACCCCACTTGCAGTCTTGATCGCTTGGTCGCATTATATCCGCATCCTTCTCTCCATCTCCCCGTCCCAACGTCCCTCCGGATCGGAGGCGATGATGGCCCGCAGGTTGTTCGGCAGCTGCACGTAGGCATATTCCCTCCAGATCTCTGCTCGGCGGAGAAGGTACGAACAGAACACCCTCTCCGACCTCCGCATTCTCTGGCCCCTGCATACCAAAACACCGGGTGGCAACGGCCTACGTCGAATGGCCTGAACAACAGAACAGCTGCACCCCTGCTCTTCCATAAGAAGCCCCTGGCTCAAGAGACTCAAACCTGCACCTTCCTGCTCCGGGGGCTCAGGAAGCGGGCAACGACTGCCGAGGGCTGCCACGGAATCGCCGCGCTCTCATCCAAGACAGTAGATGGAACGGCCGCACTTTCTGGCCAAATGGCACGTCCTTCTCTCGCAAGCATGCTGAATCGCTCGTGCGGAGCTGGCAGGAGGACTCGTCCACGGCCCACCTTCTGCTCCTGCTCCGACTCCCCTCCTCTCTCCTTCTCCTCCTTCTCTTCTCGTCCTCCTCCTCATCCTCGCCCCCTTCTCCCTTTCCTCCTCCTCCTCATCCTCTTCCTCCCTCCTCCTTCTCCTCCGACCAACTAGTTCATCCCGTTCACAGTCTCCTCACTCCTGGCCGGCAGCACATTTCCTCGCACACAACCCTGGCGACGAGGGCAACTAAACGTGGGAGTGCGAACAAACTAGTACCATGTAAGCCAAAGTGTGAACCCACATCTTCGAGTATAGCCCCGAAATTCGAGCAAAACCCCGACAGCGTCCTGCGATGAGTCTCTGGCTTGGCCACCGTGACCGCCGCCATGGCGCCCCTGCTCTGCAGTCTGGCTTCAGCAGCAGGGCTCACGGCGCGAAATGCCCGACCAACCTTCCCATCCGTCCCCCACGACCAGCATCCGCTTCTTGCAATCGCGGATCGAGTTGCTCGTTCAACCAGGGAGAGGGGGTGCATACACCACTGCAGGGCCCCCACAAACTTGTCTTGGGCCTGGACCCTTGTGCAGGTCGCCTCCTGGCTAGGCCAGGAGGTCTGGCCCAAAGTGGGGTGACCGAGCTCCAATCGAGGGGGGAAACGTCCACCCGTGTGCGTGCACGAACCGACGGACACCGCGCCCAATCATCGGCGCGCGCAATCGAGACGATCGGGTGGTGGGAATTGTAGCACGTAGACCAGGCGTTATAGTGGATGTGGCCTGAGACAGGGAGCAAGCAGTAGTGCGAACTTGTGTGTGGCACTGTCGAAAAGTCGTTCCGCGTCGCGAGATGTGCAACACCCACGACCCAAAACGTCTATATAATTGGCCGCCAGGTCAGCTCACTAGAGTCTACACGCGCCAAGGCTACCTCGCCTGAGCTTACACATGATCACGCGTACAATTGCTGGCCCAATGTCGTTCACTCTCGCTTCCTTCCTCCAATCTCTCTCTCTATATATCGCTCGCTCAGCCTCGCTCTCTCTCTCTCTCTCTCTCCCTCTCCGACCCCACCTGAGGAAGAGAGGGAAAGGGGGCGCAAAGCAAAGATGGAGACGGCAATGACAAGAACAGCCGTCCCGTCCAGGACGCACGCCTGAAGCAGAGGGCGCTCACGCGCGACCTTGCGAGCGGATGTCGGCGCAGTCGACCCCGTTTCCTTCTGTCGCCCCCCCCCCAGAGACCCCTCCAAGAAGTGGGCCCTGCACCTTCCAGGAGGGGCGTCCCTTCGCTTCAAGGACCCTGAACCTGAACCTCCATCTCCGCCAGCTTCAAAATCCCAAAATCCTCCGTCTCGTCCAGCCGACCGGCCTCCTTTCAAGGCGGACGTTGACGTGACCAAGCAACAAATAGAAAGGTCCATCGGGCACTGCTCTCGGAGGCTGACGGCCTCGGCCCAATCGCGAGAACGCAGCATCTCTGGCCCTGGCCTGGCCCATCATCTAACTTCCGAGCCCCTGGGTGGACCAAAGGTTCCGATTCTGCTACTCCCCAGGCCTCTCCAGGGGTGCGTTCTGGCCAGAATTTCCACGCGAATCCAGCCGTGGCGACAGGGGGGGAAGTGTAGCGGTATCGGTGTATCTGACGGGGCCCTGGGATACACAAATAAATAGACACAAATAGCAGGATTCCCCATATTATCCGATATTTTATTGGTTTTTGTCTTCCCCCCACTTCCCAAATTTTCCCGTATTTTCTGGGGAATCGACGATGAATTGTGTCTGTGTTTTTTTCCCCCTCCTGAGCATCTCCCGCTTCTGAGCCTGCGGGTGCTGGTGGTAATCCTCGAACCTCTCGAGGGGGCATCCTTTAGAGCTGGATTCGGCCAGGGGGTCTGAGCCTGCTGGCGCCCCGAGAACATCGGTCAATAGCGGGAGGGATGACGGCAGATCCGCGCAAAGTCGGTCCCCGAACCCCATCTGCGAGTCCATCTCCTGCAGTTTTTTACCCCGGACTCGTTCTCGGCAGTCCCAGGCCCGAAAGCGGCCCCCGGAGACCGAAGAAGGCAAATAAAAAAGACCTTGTCGAACCCAGCAACTCGAACCTGGCCCCCCTTACCAGTGCTGGGCCAGCTCGGACCCCAAGCCGGCCCCAGTCCTTTGGCAGCGCGAGTCGCCAACGCCACCCCGCACGCCCCCCGCTGCGGGCGAGATCTATTGGCGCGCACACAAGGGGGTGGGGGAAGAGGGGAGGGCTTCTTAGAAGCACCCTGCTTCTTAGAAGGCGCTGGCCCTGTATCTACAGATAAGGCCGGCGTTTTCTAAGAAGCAGGGGTACTTCTAAGTAGCCCGCCCCCCTCCCCCACCCCCCTGCGCGTGACTGAATCGATACAAATATAATACATTTATATATATATATACCACACAGCATACATATATATATATATAGATATGCATAGTCACTGCGTCTAGAACGAAATGGAAAGGGGCGATACAAGCCTAGGCGCAGTGGACACGTAGAAAAATCTGGCCCCCAGGGACCAGAGTTTTGCACACCTAAGCACGGCGCCTCTGGTCTCTGGGGAGGGGGCCCGAAACTCCAAGACGCAGCGGATACGGCCACGAATCTCGCCCCTCACCGGCTCCAATCCTTTAGCAGCGCGAGGCGCCAGCGCCACCCCGCACAACCCCCGCACTTCCCCAGGCGGCGGCGCGCGCAGAGAAGCCCGCCCGCCCGCGCGGGGGCGGCCGCGCACGCGCCGCGCCCCGACGGCGCGCGCTCCGCGTCAGAGGAACCTCGGGGACGCCTTCGCCGCCTGCGGGTGCGCTGTCGGCGGCTCCGACGGATGTGGTGTGCAAGACGTGGTTTTTGCGCCTGGGACGGTAACGCAGCCCAAACGCAGCAATATGCACCAGTGGGAATACAGAAAGCCGTACAGTCGGCCTTGATTGGACAGAAGACGCGAGAGGACACAAGACCCTTCCGAGGGCCACATTGCCATGGGGGATGTAGGAGGCACGTGTCGTTAGGCACAGGACACACAAGGGTCCCCTTCAGCTGGCAGAGTCGACCTACTGATCCGGGCCGACTGTAGCACAGGCGGCTGCTTGAGAAGGAGCGGCGCTGCCGCAGCACGAGCTCCACCCCGTGGGAGCAAGGGAAGCATGCGTGCCACAGCTCGGCATCACAGCAGCACGAGGAGGCCTTGCGTGGCCGGGGTAAAACATGCCCAACTTCTACACAGGAAAGTGGTGTGCAAAAGGTGTGGTTTGCAACCCGCGCCAGGGGGGGCGGGCGAGGAATTCGACGGAGATCTCCGCCGCGCCCCTGCGAGGGCTCATCAAACCTGTGGCGCAGCGTGGTGACCCCCTGAGGCACAACGGCGCCGATCTCAGGCCACACTCCGGCGTAACCGCGGCCACTGTGGCTCGCGAGCGCTGACGCGGGCTGTGGGTCGGCGGCGAGCCCAGGGGGAGGCTCGAGGAGTCGAGGGGGGCAGGCCTCCTCAAAGGCGGCGGGCCTTCTCGGAAGCCCTCCAGCCCTCCGAATTCTTCTGAGCCGCCTCTCCGAAGGCAGAGACGGCTTCTCGGAATGCCAGAGGGCTTCTGAGAAGCTCCGCCTTCTGAGAAGACCTGCCCCCCTCTGGCTTCCCAGCCGGGCTCGGCGCCGAGCGGGGGCGGAAGGATCCCAGGATGGCAGGACGGCGACAACGAGCTCCAGGAGGACGAGGCAGGAAGCCCGCGAAAGATGGGTGGGGGCGCCTTGTGCTTCCCTGTGCTGGCGGGGAGAGAGGGGCTAGCGGATCCCGTCAGGGTGATGTTGCTGCCTTGACGCGGGCATTGTGACAGCGTGCCTCCTAGAGGAGGGGGACACGGATGAGGAGGCGACAAGGGGGCCTTGCGATGACTCGTGCTCCTGCTCGAGAGAGCGAGAGAGAGGGAGAGAAAGACAAAGAGAGAGAGACTGAGAGAACAAAAACAAAAAAAAAGATGGAGAGAGGGAGAGAGAGAGAGAGAGGGAGACACACAAGGAGGGGGAGAGGTGGAGAGACTCACAAGCATGCTCCTGCGATTTCCGCTCGCGACCCCTCGGGCAACCGCCAGCGGACACCGCGGCCTCTTGTGGGCTATCTTTTGGCGCTCGGCCTGGCAGTTTAACGAGGCTTGCAGCGAGATCGTCAACTTTGGCTCCAGGATGCAGCAGACCGAAGTGCACCCAAACACCTATCGGCGGCGAGCGAGGGGGGAAAATGAGAAGGAGGAGGCCTTCTCAGGAGGCGGCAGGACTTCTCAGGAGCCCTCGCGCCTGCTGAGATTTGTTTCTGCCGTCGGGGAACACTTAGAACAACTTCTCAGAAGGCCGGGGGACTTCCGAGCCTTCTGAGAAGGTCTGCGTCCTCTCACTCCCCCCCCTCGCTGGCCGCCGAAACGATTAGCAGACTGCTACTTCCAACCGCTCCAGGCAGCAGCAAACCCAGACTGCACTATCAACTCGCTCCACATCCCTCCTGGGCGCGAGAGAAAACATGATCGACCCACGAACCCGGAAAGGAATATGGAAATGCGGAGCATGGAAACGTTTTCGCGACACCGAACTAGGCGACGGGCACTTGCAATGCTGAAGGCATCGATGGCGATGTGCCGTGCCAGGGGCTGTGCTCTGCCGCGCTGTGCTGACTTGGAACGTGTCATGATGCGTTGACATGTGCTGTGCTCTATTGCGTTGTGGACCAAGTCGTTCTTTGCATCCGACTCCTGGCCGAACTGATCTGGATCTTAAATTCGAGCTGTCTTAACCCGTGGCTCGCCCAGAGCTGGCCGTAATCGAAACGCGCGGGGCGCTCGACCAGCTCAAGTTCAAGATCCGATTCAGTTCCGAAGCGGGACGAAGCAAGAGGCGGACCCGAACGGAAGCCAAACACAAACCACGAACCACCCCACAAAACACCCCACGGAAGACCCCACGAGACACACCACGGAACACCCCACGAAACATTCCACGAGACACCTCACGAAACATTCCACGAGACACCCCACGAAATATTCCACGAGACACCCCACGAATTGCGTTGTGGACCAAGTCGTCATTTGCATCCGACACCTGGCCGAACTGATATGGATCTTAAACTCGAGCTGAATTAACCCGTGGCTCGCCCAGAGCTGGCCGCAATCGAAACGCGCGGGGCGCTCGACCAGCTTGAGCTCAAGATCCGATTCAGTTCCGAAGCGGGACGAAGCTCGCCCCTGAGCGGAACAAGCGTGAAAACACGTGGGTCCCTTTCGTCCCTGAACGGAACAAGCATGAAAACACGTGGGTCCCTTTCGCCCCTGAGCGGAACAAGTGTGAAAACACGTGGGTCCCTTTCGCCCCTTTCGCCTCCTGGGCCTTCCTAAGGCCTCCTCGGGACTCCTCGGCATTCCTGGGGCCTCCTGGAGCCTTCTGGGGCCTCCTGAAGCCTTCTGGGACGTCCTGGTACGTCCTGGGGCCTCCTGGGCTCTCCTGGTGCCTCCTGGGGCTTCCTAGGCATTCCCTAAACATCCTGGGGCCTCCTGGGGCTTCCTGGGGCCATGCCCCTGACCAAAACGTGTCCCGCACCCTGTGATTGAGACATCCAGGGTGATGGACACATCCTGGCAGTCTCCTAGGCCTCCGTGCTGAATTGCGATGTGCCATGGCGCGACTGTGCTCTATAGCCTCGTGGATCGAGTCCTCCTTTGCATCCGAGTCCTGACCGAACTGATCTGGATCTTAAGCTCGAGCTGCCTGAACACATAGTAGCTGCCCCAGAGCTAATGGACAGGGGAACATGCCAGGAGGACGCGCCGCGAAACGTCCCAAGGGATGCGCCAGGCAACGTGCCAGGGGACGTGCCATGGGGTCGCACCGCGGGACGTGCCAAGGGGACGCGCTACGGAACGTGCCAATGGATGTGCCACGGGATGTGCCAGGGGACGCGCGACGCGACGTGCCAGGGGGACTCGCCAAAGGACGCCCCACGGAACGTGCCAAGGAACGTGCCAAGTTGCAATGCTGAGTGCATCGACCTTGATGTACCGTGCCGAAATCAGTGCTGTGCTGCGCCGTGCTGAATTGCGATGTGCCATGGCGCGATTGTGCTCTATAGCCTCGTGGATCGAGTCCTCCTTTGCATCCGAGTCCTGACCGAACTGATCTGGATCTTAAGCTCGAGCTGCCTGAACACATAGTAGCTGCCCCAGAGCTAATGGACAGGGGAACATGCCAGGAGGACGCGACGCAGAACGTCTCAAGGGACGCGCCAAGCGACGTGCCAAGGGACGTGCCATGGGGACGCATCGCGGGACCTGCCAAGGGGACGCGCTACGGAACGTGCTGGGGACAAGCGTTTCGCTCGAGACATCCTGTCAAAATCATCTGAATTCCTACGCGCGGGACGCTGCACGCGCGAGACATCCTCGGAATTCCTGCGAGCGGGACGTGAAAACAAGCATTTCGCCTGAGACATCCTTTGAATTCTGGCCCCCCACGAGGCCACCGCTCGAGACATCCTCCAATTTTGCAAAACCAGCGTTTCGCTCGAGACATCCTCAACAAATTATGAAAAACAAGCGTTTCGCTCGAGACATCCTGTCAAAATCCCAAGAAATCCAAATACCCGCGCGCGGGACGCGGCACGCGCGAGACATCCTTGGAATTCCTGCGCGAGGGGCGCTTTTCCGTGTCGCGGTCGGCTCTGCAAAACCAGCGTGTCGCTCGAGACATCCTCAACAAATTCTGAAACCAAGCGTTTCGCTCGAGACATCCCCAACTCTGCAAAACCAGCGTCTCGCTCGAGACATCCTCAACAAATTCTGAAAAACAAGCGTTTCGCTGGGGACATCCTCAATTTTTAATTCGCCGGCCCTACGCGACCTCGTTATTTATCGCAAAAGAAATTCGCCGGCCCTACAGCCGTCGAAACCGGGGGGAAACAAACTAAAAGAGAACCCTGGGCCTACGCCCTTTCCGGGAAAAAGGTTCCTGAAGGAAACTGGTGCTGGATTCTCTGGGCTCCACCATGATCAGCGTTTCATCCCTGGCCGTTTTGTTGACTGCCCCAGGGCCCGGGAGGGGACCTAGGAGCCCCAACACGTCAAAGCACTCACTCACAGCCCTTTCGCTGAGGACCCACTTTCTCCATGGCGACTCTTCAGAACCCCCTGACTCCTGTCGAAAGAAATCCAGCCGAGGCGACGAGATTCCTGGAGGCGCAAACAGAAACCCAAGCGCTCGGAAACCTGGACCCTCGAACATCGATGCGCTCTGGAGCGCAGAGGAACATACTAGTACTCTGTACCCTCCTCGGAGGCGTGCGTCCGACCCGAACGTATAGTATAACCATCTTGTAATAGCCCGAATCCCGAGCGGTTTGGCCAGAAAGTGCCCGCCACCGAGCATATACTAGAAGAGTTCTCAGCGCGCGAGTCGCCCCTTGGGGGCGGCGTACAGTATTAGTATGTTGGGGTGATGTCGAATCGATGCCATCCTTCCCCCTATCGAGAGAAGCTGGCCTTCGCTGGCTTCTCCACGGGGCCCTTCGCCAACTCCTGTCGGACCACCTTCAGCTTCTGGTGCAACTCGGGCGCCTTCTCTGGGGAAACCAAAAGGTACCCGTACTGCTACAGTCAACTCGTGTAGATGATAAGGATGCGCGGTTAGGATGCAAGAACCTTGGACGCCCATGCCGAGGCTCTTCGAGCGGGGCTGGCCATCGAAAGTGGTTGAGGATGAACCGAAGATGACGGAAGAGGCAAGGATGCAAGGGTACCCTTGTCAAGCCGATCATCCTTACCAATTATCAGGGTCGTCTCTACTCTCCGGACCTCTCCCAGAGTACGTTCTGACAACAAGTTCGAGGCGAATCTAGCCGAGGCGACGAGGGCCTTCCAGAAGGCCCGAAAAGGCGGACACCAGGGAAGGGCAGCGGTATCGGTAAGGCGGGGCCGAGTCGTGACGACATGCGCGCTGTTTTCTGACACAGCGTGGATGGTTCAATCTTGAGCGACCGCGCTTTTCCGATCGCCAGATCCTTCCATTTTGGCTGATCCTGGACCACCGGAGGAGCTCAACCTTGAACGCCCGCGTCGGGGTCGCGGCGAGTCGACACGACGCGATCCTGCCGCCCCTGTGCCCTCCTCTGATCATCGCGGGCAGCGCCGAGCAGAGGCCACCCGGCTGCGAGGGGCTCGCAACAAGTCAAGGTGCACTCGCGCGGCGCCGCCGTCCTTCCTCTGCATCCTCTTCCACCTCCTCCTCCTGCTCCTGCTCTTGCTCCTGCTTCTGCTCGTACTTCGCCTCCTCCTCCTCCTCCTCCTCCTCCTCCTCCTCATCATCATCATCATCATCCTCCTCCTCCTCATCCTCATCCTCATCCTCATCCTCATCCTCATCTTCATCCTCCTCCTCCCTTCTCCTCCTCCTCCTCCTCCTCCTCCTCGTCCTCCTCCTCCTCGTCGTCCTCCTCCTCCTCCGCCGCCGCCTCCTCCTCCTCTTCCTCCTCCTCCTGACCATCACCACCAACACAACCACTACCACTACCACTATCACCACCACCACCGCCCTGACGATCCTCCTCCTCATCATCATCATCATCATCATCATCATCATCATCATCATCATCGTCATCGTCATCGTCATCGTCGTCGTCATCATCATCATCATCATCATCATCATCATCATCATCATCATCATCATCATCATCATCATCATCTTGATCTGCATCTTCATCTACATCAACATCATCATCATCATCATATTCAGCAGCAGCATCATCATCGTCATCAACGCCATCATCACCATCATCATCAACATCATCATCATCCTCATCATCATGATTAGCAGCATCAGCATCAGCAGCAGCAGCATCAACATCATCATCGTCATCTTCATCAACAGCATAATCAGCATCATCAGCAGCATCATCATCCTCATCAGTAACATCATCACCATCATCACCATCATCGTCGTCATAATTATTGGCAGCATCAGCATCATCATCAGCGACATCAACATGAACCTCATCATCAGCATCAGCATCATCATCAGCAGCATTGTCATCATCACCACCACCATTATCATCATCATCATCATCATCAGCACCATCATCAGCAGCAGCAGCAGCATCATCAGCACCATCATCTGCAACATTATCAGCATCCCCAACATCATCTGCATAATGAGCATCAGCATCATTAACCAGCACCAGCATTATCATCACTCGTCAGCATCATCAGCATCATCATCAACATCATCATCAACATCATCATGGCCATCGTCATCATCATCATCCGCATCCACTGCCACGCTGACGGACCCCCCCCTCCCTCTGGCTTTTGGCCGGGGCGGCGGGGCGGTTAGACCAGACGCCGGGAAGACCCCGACTCCGCCCCTCTCATCCACGTCCACATCCACATCCACATCCACATCCACATCATCATCATCATCATCATCATCATCATCATCATCATCAGCAGCAGCAGCAGCAGCATCATCATCATCACCATTCTCAGCATCATCAACATCATCAGCATCAGCATCAGCATCATCACGGCTCCCAAAAGCCTGAAGATACGAGGTGTCACACGTGACGGCCTTCTGTGCCCCCTCGTGCAGTCGTCACCCTGAATGCCGCAGGCGACTGGATAGAAGAAGGTGCACTTGCGCGGCGCCGCTAGACAGGGCCCCTGAGGGTATCGAGACCGCCGACACCAGCAAGGGCTGGGCGATCCGTAGAAGAAGGCGACGAAACCGAGCGCGACTTTGTCGCCGAGCCGGCCAGCTTCCCCACCGCAGTGCAAGCGTGGACCCTGATGGCGCGCGCCGCGAGCCCCAAGGAACAAGCGCCGAGAGGGCGAAGCGGCGGAGGGGTCAGATTCGGCCCTGTTGCTAGGTCGGGCATGTCCCCCTACGGGGAGATTGTGGGGGGAAAATTGAAAAAAAGTCAAAAAATAACCCCAACATATTCAAAAATAATAGAAATAACGTCATCATACGATTTTGTGACTATTTTGGGATATTCCTCCTGTAAAGGAACGTGCCCGACTTGACGCTGTTGTTTCTCTTGTTTTGAACCTTATCCGAACGCCCTTGGCGAACTTTAGGCAAACTCATGCTGAACTTTGCACAGAACCATCAATCCCAACCCTTTGCCGCAAGATCCGCGTCACAAGCCCAAGGATGTCCTGGCCAGGGGCGCGGGCGACGTCGAAGGCGTAGACCCTGCAGCCTCGGAGCGCCATCTCGAAGGACGCGCGCCGAGATTCCGCAGACACCTCGACGCAGTAGCCGCGCCTCGTTCGGACGCCCGTCGGCAAGTCAATGATGCCACAAAGGCTACGGGCAGCGTCGCCGCGACCGCGAGCGCGCGGGCCCGCCCCGCTGCCGGGAGCCGCTTATTATGCTGGTTTCCGCGCACTCTGATTCTGGCAAGTGTCGTCGTCATCCTGTCGCTGTCATCCTGCTGAGGACTCTGATCATGCCGTCGTCATCTACATCCTACAGCGTCCCAGCCATGGCATGCAGCTTGTCGCCCAAGTTAGTTAACAATCTTCGGTATTGCGGACGTACCTGAGGCGGGGCATTGAATGATTTTTCCACTCTCGGAACTTCTGTATATCGCCGGCGAACGTATTGAACTGCTGCGTGGCCTTGAATTCGCTAACCGGCTTCTGCTTTCTCGCAAGCCTGTTCATTTTCCTCCCGCCATGGAGTCGTCTGCACAACCTAGTCCATCGTGTTGTTTCCAAGCGTTTGTTTGGTCGTCTAAGTTCTAAGTGCCAAATGCTTAACTGTAGGGTAAGTTGTTGGGGTCCATGGTCAGTGAGGAACAACCCGTAACTTGCTTCACTGGTGTCAGTTCTTACACCGGCAGCAATTTGCCTTTCAATGAAACCCCTCACCCTCTCATGCTTCGCCGTTAACGCCACCTCCACGGATCTGTAGTCACACCCGTAGTACGCGGCTTCGCACAGCTCGCTGAAACCATGCTGGAATTCGGCTAAACCATTGATCTCGGTTTCGCGGGTGTTTAATTCTGGAAGCGGGTCTCCTGGGTGACCGGGTGCGAAGGCTGTTGCTGCCGCTGCTGCCATTAACCCGCTCCGCTACCATACAAATTCCGAAGGAGGAAGAATGGCACGGGAGTGATCCGATGATTGACCCCCTGGGCCAGCAGTCGAAAATTGTACAGGTTACGATGATTAGGCCAAACAACGTCGGTAACGACGACTGCTCGACGTAACTACATCACTATGTTCCTCACGTCGCAGAACCATGATCTGACATCTCCTCCTCCTGCTCCTCCTCCTCGTCTTCCTCTCCCTCCGCTCCCCCTTCTCCCTGGCCTCGTCTCGCCGATTGTCGTGCCATCCTTCCATGGCCGTGGCCAGGCAGCTAACAACTGGCGCGGCAACGGCACCACCAGAGAAGCGAGAAGACGGAGAGCACAACGAGCAGGAGGAGGTGGAGGAGTGGACGGCGGAAGAGGAGCGGAACGTGAAGAGAAGGATGAGGCAGGGGAGAAGCACGAGAAAAGGGAAGGGCGACACTAGAGGCCTCCCAAACGAGGCCCGAGCAGATGGGGTCGAAGGATCGCGCTGCATCGCCGATCGATCGCCGATGCATCCCCGATGCATCGACGACGTCGGCGTTGCACCGGCGATGCATCGGCGCCGCCGGCGCGGAGAAAATCGGGCTCCACGTCGAGCTGCACCGACGATGCCTCGGCGATGCGGCGCGCGACCCTCCGGCTCCACCCGCTCCGACCCCAGCAGGGAGGTCTCGAAATGTGGCCCTCGGGCGCGCCCAGCGGCGCCCAGTAGGAGGAGGAGGAGGAGGAGGAGGAGGAGGAGGAGGAGGAGGAGGAGGAGGAGGAGGAGCAAGGGGAGGGTGGCGCCCTTCGAGGCCCTCGGTCGGGCCCACCGGCGCGCGCCCGCGCCCGCCTGCGCGCGCCCTGGCAGCCGGGGCCGCACGAGCCCGTCGAGCACGAGCAGCATGCCCTCTCTGACGTCGTCGTACCTGCCCCGCCCCGGGTCTGCGTCGTACCCCTCTTTGGGAACAAGGAAAGGCGACACCAACACCAGCAGGGCGAGGAGGTGCGAGGAGGCAAGGGGGAGTCTCCCTGGTGGTGTGGTCCCCTCCTCTCGCTCGAGACATCCCCAGCATCCAGCTCGGGGAGGCATGGTGGACCTCCTCGCTGGAGGTGGGCCCCCTGGTGGTGTTGGTATCGCTTCTCCTCCCTCCGACTCTTTTCCCCGGCCGAGCACGGCGTGGGTTGGCTGGGGCGCGATCGAACAGCGCCCGAGCTGCCCCTGACTGCGACTCTCGATCAGCAGGAAAAAAGGGTCGCCTCGGCAGATGCTGGATGCAGCGGAGCGGGACGGCGGCAAGAGGCAGGGGGGCTCCGCTCATCGCAGCGCCACGCCTCCAGCCCTGCTCCCGGTCCGAAGGTGGCCTGCGCGGAGGCTCGCGCTGCCAGCCTTCGAGCTGGTGCTGCCGCAGCCAAGCCGACCTGAAGAATTTCAGCACGCGGGCCGTCCAGAAGACATTGGAATGGTCAGATAGTTCAACCTGCTCTCGCTGAAGGGTAGTTTGTTGTTCTCACGTTCTCTTGCCTCCCTCAACCATGATGTCCATCTTACCTCCCCGCTGGCTCATGCCCGCGGCGATGTTTCCTCGGGTGCGGGTGGTGGCACGCGCGTGCCTGGTACCTCTGTCAGGCAGCTGGGGCGACCGCCTTCCGCCTGCCTCGCCGCGGGCACTGGCTGGGAGAGCAAAGCAGCTCCGGAGCCACAGCCCACTGCATGAGGTGGACGGGGCTGGACGACGCTGGAGATGCCAGCGTGCCACAACGTTTGTCTCAAGCACGACCCCACGAAACCGTTGGTCGACCACTATTACTGCCGACGTTTTCCAGAATATTCTTAGGGAACAATTGAATCCGATACGGAACGAAATTCATGGCATCACAACGCATGGGCTCTCACGCGAGGACCTCGACTGCACCTTTCTCCCCATCAGCACCGCCATCGAAGAGCTCACACCACGGTTGGAATTACTGGAGGCTCGGGACGCCTCACGAGCACCTACACCAGGTCCGACATCATCGAAGACGGGGTCAGAAGCAAGTGCCGACACCATGATGTAGACGAGATCCCAGGAGCTGGAACAAAAAGGTCCAGCAACTCAAATATCGAGGTGTTCCTCACGCTGCCAACGACACGAAGAACAAGACAGCAGTGTTTGGCAACCTCGTCGGCTTTGACATAACTATCGAACACCGCCGCAGCCTTGCTGAAACACCAGCTTGCGACTCCTGCAGGTCCGACTCCACTGAATACGTACATCGAAAGCGGCACAACACACATCCTGCACGCTGAGTTCGGAAGCGGGAAGGACCGCGACACGGCAGTAGCCCTCATCTGGAGTGCAAACTGATAGCCCGATGGACAAATCATTTGGGCCTCTCCAGACCGACGTCCGACGGACCGTGCTGCGAGGAACTGTTGCTTCGGGCTTCAGTGCATGCTTAGAGAGCACATGAACACGAAGTACGTCATTAAACTGAGCGACGAGATGCCATACCAGGTCCACGTAGGAGGGGAGGTGGCACTAACAGTGACTACAACAGATACGCGTTTGAATCGGGAATGGTTTAGCCAATCGGGCGAATGGGACGATCTCCAACAGCATGAAAAAATCAAAAGAACTTACGGCCAAATGTGACGAGTTGGTTAGCAGAGCTTCGTCTGGAATGGAAGGAAGTCCTAAGGTGCAATCCAAAAGAAACGTAAAATCCTGAGCAACACGGCAGGCGCCGATCGAGGCTGAAACCGGCACCCACGCCGACATATCAACACCACCAGCGACGACGATGGCAAGAATGGACAAACATACCAATCCGCCACAATTACCTCAACAAGCACTCCGGCCACTCCATGGAAGGACCCTCGCAAGAACACGTGTACCTCACCAATGTCAGTATCAGTTTTCTTCTTCTTCTGTCGAGTCGATTATGGTGATAATACCGCTACCGCGGATAAGACGTGAACTACTACTTCATGTTGGGATGGACGTATTCTGGGCAAGGCTACCACTGTTGATGCTGCTGCTGTTGCTGCTTCTTCGCAACGGCACCGTCCGTAGACGTTCGTCTCAAATTCTTTGTAATTCCAGCGTAGCGTTCCGCGTCAGGAAACACCTGCTTGAGATTACACAGTAGGTCGTGTGTAAAGACAACGATGCGCCCCAAAAACTTGGGCAGTTCGTCGTCGTCGCGCCCGGCCCCAGCAACAATGAGCATCTGGAAGATAGAAGACGACGCAATTCCTCTGAACACACAGCCGGTTTCGTGTCAGAGTGTGTATCCCCTCTGCTTATTTTCTCCTCTTAATATAGCCAGAATGATCATAGTATGTCTTAGTGTGTTCCACTCGGTCGCCAACGGCACAACCTCGAGACTGCCGACGCGTCCTTCCAGGTGCATGGCCTTTGCTTGCTTTGGGCCAGCCAGAGCTTGACGGGCATGACGGATGGGTGCTGGAGGAGGCGGGCGCAAAAGCGGACGATGAGGGGTGCCCCCCCCCCACACGAGATGCACCCCCCAGAAAAGCACGAAATGCAGACCATCGCGCCCTGCTGGTCAGTGAACCCCCTCTTCCGCCTCCTCCTCCTGCTCCCCCTGCTGCTGCAGGCCCTGGTGCCTCAACGAAACGCGTGCCGCATGTATCCCCAGGTTTTCTGGGATAAGTATGACCTTGCAAAGAACGGAAAGAGCGGAAGTAGAGCATTCCTGAGCGCGCTAAACGCGGGAAGCGGAATATGAGCGCGTTTAGCGCAGGAGCAGTTTCGCGGCGTCGTGGGTGGAGAGCACGAGCGAGGACATCTCGGAGTGGAGCTTCTGTGGAGGTGGGGGGGGAGGGGGGGGGTCTCGGAGTGCAGGAGCTCTGTCTCACAAATTAAAAAGGGGTTCAGGGAACCCCCCTACTTGGGAACCATGTTCGCCACCGCGAAAAGGCCAACAGCTGTTCCCCTCGCACTGACCCTAAGGACTCGTCTGATTCAGCGAGCCTCTCTGACGGGGCCACCTCTGAGCTCGCCCCCTTGAGCTTAGGGGTATGCCCCCTGCCTGCCCCATGCAAAGTCTGGGGCTGCAGCATAATCTAATCGTAGAGGGTCTTGCTAGTTGCACGCGCAGCTCCTTCGTAGGTGTTGACGGTGTTGACGGTGACCATGACCTCCTCCTCCTCCTCCTCCTCCTCCTCCTCCTCCTCCTCCTCCTCCTCCTCTCATTCCTCTTCCTACTCTCTCCCCCCATCCAGAGCACATGCGTTTCATGTGCGTGCGAACATGCTAGTACGTATGATGGGGCACGCAACATGAGCATGCAGCTTGAATGGCTGTGTCCCTGCATTGCTGGGCGCGGTGGCGGCTATGTGCAGCAGCGCCGCTGGGTCCTTTCTACCAAGGCCGACTCCAAATCAGAATTGTCTAAGCGGTCCCAGAGTGACTCCGTAGGAATACCCACAAGACTGCAAAGGACTCCGTTGGTCCCCTCTGGACGCCATTGGTCTCGATGCCTTCGGACTCCACATGACTCTACTGAGCTCCGCTGTGAGACTCCGTTGGACTTCGTTGGATTCAAGTGGACCCCAAATGGACTCCACTGATGGACCCAATTGGATTTCGCAAGACTCCATTTGATTCGCTTGGTCTCGCTCGGACTCCGATGGTCGTGATTGGACTCTACTGAACTACGTTGGACTCCACCTGGTCCCACGGGACCCATTGGACCCAGTAGGACTTCAGTGGACCTCATTGAACTCCACCCGAATCCACCACTGTGCCTTCTGACACGGTGAGGCGCGATAGACTACCAGGGGCTGCCTGGCAGGGCTTCTGAAATGTTCTGGGGGGGCACCCCCCCTCACATCGCACTCGCCCACATGTGAGTATCGTTTATCCGATCCCCATCCCTAGCGGCGTGGCCTGGGCCCCACTGGCCGACTTGGTCGTTCCCTTCGGGTTTCGAGGGGTGTATCCCCCACTTTGGTGGCCATGTGGGAATCTCGAAGGGGATGGGGATGGGGATGGGGATCGGATAAAGGACACTGAGCACGTCCCCCCCTCACCCCTCTCCCCCGTACAATGAACTAGGCCCGGGCTCCCGAGGCCCCGGTCTCCTGCAGAAGCCCGAGGGCCCGGGCTCCCGAGGCCACGCCCCCTGGCAAGACCATGGTCCGGCGCTCTCGAGGCCGCGACCCCCCCTCCGCCTCCTCCTCCTCCTCCTCCTCCTCCTCCTCCTCCTCCTCCTCCTCCTCCTCCTCCTCCTCCTCCTCCTCCCCCTCCTCCTCCTCCTCCCCCTCCTCCTCCTCCTCCCCCTCCTCCCCCTCCTCCTCCTCCTCCTCCTCCTCCTCCTCCTCCCCCTCCTCCTCCTCATAAAAACACGGAGTCCGCGCTCCAGAGGCCACGGTACCTTCCAAAAAGAACAGTGGGTCCGCGATGCCGAGCTCTCACTGCGGCCGAGTCCGGCAACCAAGGCCGCCAGCCTGGGCCCCAAGGTGTCTTCAAGACGGCCCAAGCTGGCGCCAAGGGGGCCGCAGCTGTGTTTGCCTGCGGCCTCGCGTCGGCCCAAGGGCGCTCGAGACGGCCGACGGCCCTCTTGGGGGCCGACAGGCTGCGAGGCAGAGGTTCCCCAGCTTCCTGCAGCAATTCCAGGTCTTACGCTATGGTGATAAATGCTACGCTTCCTCATACCACTCTTCATGAGGACTGAAGTCCGCGCGAAGAGGGGAGCCAGAATCCCCCCGGCTCCCACCCCAGAACAACATGCTCTGAACTCCCGGGTGTTGCCAAGGGACACGTAAAAAACGCCAGACTCGCGTCCCCCAAGCCACAATCCCTCGCACACTACCCCAGATTAGCGCCCTCGAGGCCATCCCCTCGCAGATTAGCCTAGGCTCGCGCTCCTCAAGCCACACGCCCTGGTGACTCGCAACACGTCCACCTCCCAAGCCATC